GAGAAGAAGGAAAAAGATGATCTACTAGAAAGAAATCTTAAACTGGAAAAGGAAATTAATGAAGAGAAAACAATGAAAAACAAATATGAGAAGGAGAAAGATCATATTCTGGATTTTCTGGCAAGAGAAGTCACTTGTTCTGTCTGTCTCATGATCCCAAGAACTAAGAAGATACCTATCTGTAGGAATGGGCACACTACCTGTAAAACATGTAAAAGGTAAAGATCTAGGTAAATGTTATGAAAGATATGCTTTCTACGGAGGTTTTTTTGTCTTCTTATGTGGGGGGGTTGTAATCGGAGTGGCCTTTTTAAGATTTTTTTCTAAGCTTCTATTCATGTTTTGAAAAAGTTCAAATCAAACAAAGATAAAATGGGACATATTTTTGCTGCTTTAAAACAAAACATTATTTTTGCATCTTTTGAATTTCATATTTTTCCATTTTAAAGAAACTTAATCTTTTTTAAAGGTGTTATATTATTATATCAATAAAATGAAGACGACTTTTTTATTTAAGTTTTAATTATCAACAAGCTTTTTTCGAATCACAAGTTTACAAGTTTTTTAACATTTAATTTAAAATTTAATATTTGTTTAACAAAATTTTTAAAAGAACAATGAATTGTTTCTTCAAGTTTATAAGTGATAAAAGAGAAGTTTTTTTAATTGGCAGCTTCTTTTTGTTTTCATGTTTTAGTAATCCATGCCGTTTAAAAGCTTCATTTAAATCAAAATAAAAAATCGAAAATCGTCTTCATTATATTGATGTAATCGCCTACCACGGTAGCTTGCAATGTTGTCACAACATTATTCCTAGGATGGACTGTCCTGTCTGTAGAACCATGATGGAAGACGACATGTTCTCTCCTCTAACCCAGAACATCACAGATCTGTTGGCAGTACCCTGCATATTCATGGATCAGGGGTGCACCATCAAACTCAAGAAGAAGGAGATAGTGGAACATGAGAAGGAAAAGTGCAAATACAGAGAACTCATGTGCCCAGGATGTAAGGAAAAGATTCAAGCACGTAAACTTCCTGATCACTTCCTTTATTGTGCTCAACTAGTACGTAGGGAGCATCATCAGCATGTGCATTTGGATGAGACTAAAAAAATAGTTTATAAAGGTTCTAAAGTAACATCACATAAGCCCTTTGTATTTAAGCTAGACAACTCATATAACTGGTTTCTACTCTGCATTGATCGATTAGAAGATAAACTGGTGTATCATGTTAAGCACTATAGTGGAGAGGAGAGGATGGAAACATTCAACTATAATCTCAAGGTCTCCAATACAGGAAACACATTCTGGTGGTGTATTTTTCGACCTACGCATATCCTCTATATTACACTTCTGACCTACTTGCACGTGGTTTTCCAGCTGCTTTATAGCTGCTGTAGGTCTGTTAAACTATAGGTCAGTTGCACCTTAATTCAAAAAACTTTTGTTTGATCCGACCTACTGCAGGTCGGTCGATGTACAATTATTTGTAGGTCGGATAGTCATCGATTGTAGGTCGGATTTACACTTAAGTAGGTCGGATACATATGCATTTGTAGGTCGGATGGTCATCAATTGTAGGTCGGATTTACATCTTTAGTAGGTCGGATATATGCATTTGTAGGTCGGATGCACACATTTGTAGGTCGGATGGTCATCGGTTGTAGGTCGGATTTACACTTTTGTAGGTCGGATATATGCATTTGTATTTATTTCTTGTAATATTGTCATAAAACATTATTCCTAGGTTGCTCATCATTTATATCTTGTAATATTGTCATAAAACATTATTCCTAGCTTGCTCCTCATTTATATCTTGTAACATTTTCATAAAACATTATTCCTAGCTTGCTCATCATTTATATCTTGTAACATTTTCATAAAACATTATTCCTAGTTCCTCATTATTTATTTTTTTAACATTGTCATAAAACATTGTTCCTATGTTGCTCATCATTTATTTCTTGTAATATTGTCATAAAACATTATTCCTAGGATGGAATGCCCAGTCTGTAGAACTAGAATAGAAGACGACATGTTCTCTCCTCTAACCCTGAACATCACAGATCTGTTGGCAGTATCCTGCATATTCATGGATCAGGGGTGCACCATCAAACTCAAGAAGAAAGAGATTGTTAACCATGAGAAGAAAGAATGCAAATTTAGAAAACTTCCATGTCAAGGGTGCAAAGTGAAGTTTGAAGCGTTTACCCTCCCCAATCATTTTCTAAATTGTTCAAAGACTCTATGTGAAGAAGATGTGAAGTTGGTTGAGACAAACACTTATCATTATTATCTTTATACCCAGATAGTCTCCTGTGAACCATCTGTATTCAAGCTTGAGAATTCAAAGAACTGGTTTTTACTCTGTGCTGATGTTTTGGAAGATAGATTATTGTTCTATATAAAGCATTATAGTGGAGAGGAGAGGAAGGAAACATTCAGCTATGATCTTAAGATCTTCAATGAAGGCAAAACATTCACCAGGTCAATGAGTGGAGTGTGTACTCCTATTGATATGGAAATCGTAGATGCCAAGAAGGGAGGATTTACTCTTGATGTAAATATTGAAGCAATGGCAAAAATGTGCATCTGCATAGATAAGGAATACAATTTTGGCTGGAAAGTTGAGATCAATTTGTTCCAAACTGATTCTTAAACATTATTAGCTGAAAGTTAGCCTTTTTCAGTATTCCAATCTCTGATCTACAGATACAGATTTCAAAAGTCGTTAATTGATTTATTGTCAGCCAAAAACTATTCAATAAATCAGGATTTTCAGCTTTTATAGACAATCTTTTGAGTTTTTATAAATAATAAAAATTGTTGTTTTAAATAGTTTTTTTTTTTATTTTATAAGAATTAATATAAAACTTCTTAAGTTTAAACTTTTCATTTTGAAAATTATTTTTCTTTTTATCTTAGAATACACATTTGTTTCGGATGCAAATTATTAGTTAGTTAATATTGATATTAATATTATGTTCCAATGTGGATAAATATCTTAATTACAAAGGATTTATTTCTATAATTTATACCAAGCTTTGTAACGAATAATTTTTAACAATCCAAGTATACTGCATTGTATTTTATTTTATTCCTAATTTTACAATTTAAGATGGCAACATAAATTCCATATTTTAAAACCATATTTAAAGATTGTTTATGTCTTTATACGTTGTTATGTGCTTCTTTATTTCAAATTAATTCTGTTCTTGAAGTGGATTATTTCAGTCTAGTCTAAGAGCTAAGAAATATTTTTGTGTGTATCATGTGTTTTAATTTCAGAATCATGGAACAAAGATTTAGGAAGAGATAAAATGAGACTGGTGAAGACTATAATAATCTTACTCCCTCTGAAAAGGTAAGCTTTGTGTTGTTAAAAAAGAAGCTTAAACACTTCCTTGTAAAAGCTTTGAAAATTATTTTGACGAATCTTATGATTTACATAACCACGCAATTACAAAGAAGAAATATGCATTATACATATTTATATAATTATTCAATAGTGGTAATTGTTTTAGGAGCAAATCTGAAAACAGAAACGCAAAGAAAATTATCTTTATTTGGAAGCAAAGGATAACAGCACAGAGCAGAATGACGAGAAGATTGCCTTCAGCAAGAAAGAGACTTGCTTGAGCATGGAGGAGAATGATTTGAGTGACAAAGATAATGATTTGAGTGTTAAGAAGAATGACTCCAGTGTTTTGAAGAATGAGATAGGTCAAGAAGAGACTGACCAGGAAGCATGATTTAAAGAATGGGTGACTGTTCTTAGCAGGGACAAAAATTGACTTGATTGGCGGAGAGAAAAGTTTCAGCTAGGGCTGGGCATTGTTCCTGGGGAACGATTGTTCTTTCACAAGAACGAACGGAACTATCAAGAAAGATCCCTTCATTCCGAAAAAAGAACTAACGCCTATCTCTTTCTTCAGATGCTTTCCAAGTTCAGAAATCCTTTGAGTAAGGTCAATTTACACCATTTGCATGTTTCCCTTTAATATTAAAATCAGTCTCCTTTATGCTTAAACTAGGGCTGGGCACGTTCTTACTTTTTTGAAATTGTTTTTTTCGGTTCTAGAACGAGGGCCTTTAGCTAGATCAATCGGTTTTCATTCCTTTTTTTCCAATAGTTCCATTCTTGTTCCGTTATGTTCCGTCAATTGATTAAATTAGAATTTTCTTTCATTATTTCTAGATGATTTAGAACACATTCCTGATTTAAAATGTGTTCCCTTGAAACCTTTGACTGTTCATCAAGTAAGAGAGCTTTGTGTTTAAATATGTTGAAACCTGCTAGAAAACCTGTAAAACTCAGTGTACACTATGTACATTTCGAACTCAACACAGCTGATCTGTTATTTATCTAACTCCAAAGTATCGACTGTTTTACATTAAAAGCAGTTTTCAAACAATTAAAAGTAAATTGTTATTTTCTGTTATTTTTAGAAAATGTGGAATTTTTAAAAATATATAGCAATGAGCCTGCAATTAAAAGCGTTTCAGTAGATTAATAGGGATTTTTAAAGTTCAATATTCTTGATCAGTCAAAGGTTTGAAGGGTACCATTGTGAATCGAAGATGCTCCTATATAAATGGAGGTTCACTTGAAATTACACATACTGTCCCTTCAAGACTTGGAAAGAAGTAGTTTGTAGTTTGTTACAAGTTTTTTCTGAGGGTTTTATCCACTCTGATGTTTACGACAGTTTAATTTCTTTTAACAGATTCTACCTAACTGACAAGTTACACTTATCAGTATCATTAAGATAATATTTGGTTTGTTTTATTTAGAACACCGTGTCCAGTCTGTAGAACTAGGATGAAAGGCGACATGTTCTCTCCTCTAACCCTGTGCACCAGCTTTTAATTGTCTCTCAATTTAGTTTTCACCGTTGGAACAATAGAAGTGCACTATTAAACCATACACAGAATATTAGTATTACATATTTATTAGACGTGATGAATGGCAAAATGTTGTGACCAGATTAAGTTATTTAACAGAACACATTAAAATCCAATATTTCAAAATGTGATATGTGGTGATATGTTACGACCAGATAAAAGGATTTAAAACGTTATATGAGAACTTTATAAAAGCTTAGCACAAACAGTATACATCTAGCTTTTAGAGGAGCGACAAATGGCTCTAGCTCACTCTAGTAATATTCACCTTCTGGAATTGATCTATTGGAATTGATACAGTAGTATATAAACGAAACGTTTAGTCGTCCTCAGATTCTTTCCGATTACATAGGAATTATTGCTAATCTAATTTTTATACAAGTTAGATTCAAACAATACCTGGAAGGTTTTCCAGACTCCCTGATCACAGAGAAATCCTTGTAGAATTCTGGCGTAGATCTCTCATATAGTGAAGATCATCAAAGGCACCTTGTAGATCGCTGCAGATCATCAAAGGTCCAATTGCAGATTGCTGACGTAGAATGTGGGTAGATCCTAGGTAGATATAGGATAAGGTTGTACAAACTGTAGACAGGAAGCTCCGGTAAAAATATCTCGTATCAGTCCTGTTCTGAATTTAAAGATCAACCAGTAAACCTGAAATCACATTTCAACATCGACTAAGTTCTGTTTATTAGCCTGCTTGTGCTTGCGAGACAACACTACCCTCTTTTGGAGCTTCAAGAACCCTGGGTTATGCTGATCAACTGGATCAAACACTGCAACACAATTAATTAATTAATTCCATCTCTGCTTGAAGTTTTGATAACTAATATGTACCTTGAATGTTATTTGAACAATGTATCACTTCTTGAGATAGAATCATTAAATTATAATTAAATATTTGTTTACAAGGTGCATACATTTAAAATGTGCTACAAGCTTTAAAAAGCTTGATAAAAATCTGGTTGACATGATATCAGCTATAACAGAATAAAATTACATTTTGATATTTACAAATTTTACAAATTTTAGATTTACAAAGGGAATGTTTTCGATTATTTAATTATCCTGCATATATAGTTCTTGAGTTGATCACACTGGTTCAGCCTTCTTTTAGGCTGTAGTTTATTCTAAAATAATAGTTTTACAAATACCCTGCATATTTGTGGATCAGGGGTGTTCCAAGCAAGCAAATAATTAACTTCTTACCTAAATAATATTTATTATAATAATTAACAGTGATTATTTTTAAGAAAATTAAGATAAATAATTATCTGATTGATTATTCCCCTATAAATTTTGAATATGATTTCTTCTTCATTTCTTAAACCTTGAATTACTTTGATGTTTCTTTGATGTGATATTTTAATTACAGAGTACAATATGTCTTATTGGAATAAAAATTAGATAATGATTCTTTAAACACAAATAAGGACACAGAAATAATTTCCCTACTGTGCTATACTATGTTATGCTATATCCTGATCAGATTTAAAAATTCAAGGAAACCGAGAAAATTCCAAATTTTAATTTCTCATTTTGATTGTTTTCTTTTTCCAGTTAACCCTATCTCTGCTGGGGTACTTGAAAACCAGGATATACTGGGGGGGGGTCAATTTGACCCCCCGCCCCTCTAAATCCCATGTTTGATGTCCAAATATGACAAATGATACATCATTGGAAAGCTCTTGTGCTCTACTTTTAGAATCTGCCAAAAAATTTGCAAATTTGCAAAAATTGAATTTTTTATAGCAAAATCCCAGTTATAAAGTAAAAATGTTTGCAAAAAAAATGTGTCCAAAAATGAAAAATTATACATTTTTAAAAAGCCCTTGACCATGCCATTTCGAATATGCAAAAAATTTCCTTTGACAGGTTGTTTGAAAAAAATTTGCAATTTTTTTTCGCAAAACTTGTGCAGTCCGTTTCCTTATGTCAAAGGCTTTCCAAATAGCTAAATTTTATCAAAATCTGACAAGTGGAAGTGGGTCAAAACAAAGATTTAGTTTGTTACAGGAAAAAGCAGTCATTCAGGCAGTGTGCCTAAGGACTCAGACAGTTAGTATTAAAACCCAGTTTTAGGCCTGAAGTCAGGGCTTTGGGTAAGTAGGAAAAGTCAGAAAATTTAACAGCCTCAGACCAATACTTTTTGAGTTATGTAAAAAAAACTACAAGGGGGGGGGGTAAAATTTGACCCCCCCCCCCAGCAGGAATAGGGTTAAGACTCAATTTTGACTTGTTACTTTTATTTTTGCTTGATGTATCTTTTTTTTCAGAATAATGGAAACAAGGCGGAGAAAAAGAAAAATTGAAACGAATGGAAAATGCAAAGATGAAATTGTGTAAAGGTAAGTTTTGGGTTGTAATGTTCAGTAAGATTACTTGAAGGGAGTTACTTGAGCTGAGAGCGCAGTTTTAAAGGATAACAAATTTATTATTCATGGATACCAATAATATGACTAAGATATATTATTTCTGAGTTTGAGCGCAAAAACGTTATTCAATTTTTCTCTAGACAGATTTGCAAAAGGAATCTGCCCAATGAAACATATTTTTACAATTATTTAATAATAATACGGAAAGTATAAAAAATTCTGATGAGAATTTATGTTGTGTAAAAGATTTAACTCAGTAAAATGTTTTCTGCAGATTTGCAAAGATTATATTGCTAGGACAACATTTTAAGAAATCTGACCCTTTCCTAAAACATATAGAAATCAGAAATTGATAAAATATTGATGAAAAAGAATCTGTTCAGATATTATCATTGGAATATGTTTAACTTTATACATGATCTATATTTATTAGGAGCACAACAGGAAACTATAATACCAAGAGGGGAGATTTCAACTTGGAGGAGTTTGATCCAAATATAAGCGGGGAAAAGACTGACTCCAGTAGGAAAGGGAAACAGGCAAATAATTTAGAATCAAGAAATGACAGAACTATTTTTGAACTGCAAAACCAATTTAATGCCGAGAAATCAATGAAAGAGGCAGCAATTAAAGAAAAAGCTGATCTTGAGAAAAGGATTGTTGAACTAGAGAAACAGAAGAATCTAGAAAAAGATGAACTGAAAGAAAGGATCGCTGAGCTAGAGAAACAACAAATTGATGAGAAGAAGGAAAAAGATGATCTACTAGAAAGAAATCTTAAACTGGAAAAGGAAATTAATGAAGAGAAAACAATGAAAAACAAATATGAGAAGGAGAAAGATCATATTCTGGATTTTCTGGCAAGAGAAGTCACTTGTTCTGTCTGTCTCATGATCCCAAGAACTAAGAAGATACCTATCTGTAGGAATGGGCACACTACCTGTAAAACATGTAAAAGGTAAAGATCTAGGTAAATGTTATGAAAGATATGCTTTCTACGGAGGTTTTTTTGTCTTCTTATGTGGGGGGGTTGTAATCGGAGTGGCCTTTTTAAGATTTTTTCGATGCTTCTATTCATGTTTTGAAAAAGTTCAAATCAAACAAAGATAAAATGGGACATATTTTTGCTGCTTTAAAAAAAAACAAACATTATTTTTGCATCTTTTGAATTTCATATTTATCCATTTTAAAGAAACTTAATCATTTTTTAACGGTGTTAGGCGATTAAATCAATAAAATGAAGACGACTTTTTTATTTAAGTTTTGATTGTCAACAAGCTTTTTTCGAATCACAAGTTTACAAGTTTTTTAACATTTAATTTAAAATTTATTATTTGTTTAACAAAATTTTTAAAAGAACAATGAATTGTTTCTTCAAGTTTATAAGTGATAAAAGAGAAGTTTTTTTAATTGGCAGCTTCTTTTTGTTTCCATGTTTTAGTAATCCATGCTGTTTAAAAGCTTCATTTAAATCAAAATTAAAAAATCGAAAATCGTCTTCATGTTATTAATATAATCGCATACCAGGGTAGCTTGCAATATTGTCACAACATTATTCTTAGGACGGTATGTCCTCTCTGTAAAACCAAGATGGAAGAAGAGACCATGTTCTCTCCTCTAACCCAGAACATCACAGATCTGTTGGCAGTATCCTGCATATTCATGGATCAGGGTTGCACCATCAAACTCAAGAAGAGTGAAATTGTTACCCACGAGAAGGAAGAATGCAGGGAACTCATGTGTCCAGGATGTGAAGAGAAGTTTGAAGCGTTCCTTCCCCGATCATTTTCTAAATTGTTCACAAATTGAATGTGAAGAAGATGCGAAAATGGTTGAGACAAACACTTGTCAATATTATCTTTATACCCAGATAGTCTCCTGTGAACCATCTGTATTCAAGCTTGAGAATTCAAAGAACTGGTTTTTACTCTGTGCTGATGTTTTGGAAGATAGATTATTGTTCTTTATAAAGCATTATAGTGGAGAGGAGAGGAAGGAAACATTCAGCTATAATCTCAAGATCTTCAATGAAGGAAAAGAGTTTTCTAGGTCAATGCGTGGAGAGTGTACTCCTATTGATATGGAAATCAAGGATGCCAGGAGAGAAGGATATACACTTGATATCAGTGTCGAAGCTATGAAAAGGAAGTGTTTATTGCCAAACACAGTAAACGAGTACAAATGGGACATTGAATTTGATTTAATTAAAAACTGAATTTGAAAGTCTATCAATGGAGAAAATGTAGCAATCTAACTTTGCTACATCCCACATTTCAGAAATATGGAACAAAAATTAGGAAAGAGTACACACTACACACACTAAACATGGTGAAAATATGGAAATTGGAAAGTGTTTCTGTTTAGAGGCAAGTTTTGAGCAGTGAGCATGACTTCGTTTGGTTAGGTGTTGGAACTAATGAAGCAAGAAATGAAAAGTCTGTCTTATTGGAATAAAATTAGATAATATTTGTTTAAACACAAATAAGGACACATAAAATAATTTGCCAGTCTGAGATTAAAAAAGATAGAATTCATTTCTTCAGTTTCTTTCAATTTGAAAATAAAAATACTATCCACCAAAACTTTTTAATAATTAATATTTTCTAAATAATGTCAATTTTCTATTTGTCCAACAACACTAATAATTGAAAAGAAATCAAAATATTGTTGTGAATTCTTACCATTATTTGTGTTTGATGTAATTTTTTTCAGAATCATGGAACATAGATTGATTAAAAGAAAAAATGAAATAGATGAAAAAAGTGAAAATCGTTCTGTGAAAAGGTAAGTTTTAGGTTTTTCAGTAACAAGAAAAGCGCAGTTTTATAAAATAAGAAATTAGGATTCATTGATATCAAATATGTGTCTTAACAATTATGATGGCAAAAAGATTATTTGACTCTTCACTAGATGTATATGTGTAGGGAATGTAACTAATGTCTCGGCTCAACTCCTTTATTTCCTGAAAACAATTTTATAAATTCAACAAAGAATAGTTTTAAGATTTCATTAGAATTAGAATTTATTTTAATATGTTTATGAGCTATATTTCTTAGGAGCACAAGTAGGAAGGGGAAACAGGCAAATAATATAGAATCAAGTAAAGACAGAACTATTTCTGAACTGCAAGAACAACTCAATGCCGAGAAATCGATGAAAGAGGCAGCAATTAAAGAAAAAGCTGATCTTGAGAAAAGGATTGATGAACTAGAGAAAGAGAAGAATCTAGAAAAAGGTGAACTGAAAGAAAGGATCGCTGAGCTAGAGAAACAACAAATTGATGAGGAGAAGAGGAAAGATGATATTCTGGATTTTCTGGCAAGAGAAGTCACTTGTTCTGTCTGTCTCATGATCCCAAGAACTAAGAAGATACCTATCTGTAGGAATGGGCACACTACCTGTAAAACATGTAAAAGGTAAAGATCTAGGTAAATGTTATGAAAGATATGCTTTCTACGGAGGTTTTTTTGTCTTCTTATGTGGGGGGGTTGTAATCGGAGTGGCCTTTTTAAGATTTTTTTCTAAGCTTCTATTCATGTTTTGAAAAAGTTCAAATCAAACAAAGATAAAATGGGACATATTTTTGCTGTTTTAAAAAAAAAACATTATTTTTGCATCTTTTGAATTTCATATTTATCCATTTTAAAGAAACTTAATCATTTTTTAACGGTGTTAGGCAATTATATCAATAAAATGAAGACAAGTTTTTATTTTAAGTTTTGATTGTCAACAAGCTTTTTTCGAATCACAAGTTTACAAGTTTTTTAACATTTAATTTAAAATTTAATATTTTTTAACAAAATTTTTAAAAGAGCAATGAATTGTTTCTTCAAGTTTACAAGAAATAAAAGAGAAGTTTTTTTAAGTGACAGCTTCTTTTCGTTTCCATGTTTTAGTAATTCATGCTGTTTAAAAGCTTCATTTAAATCAAAATAAAAAATCTAAAATCGTCTTCATTATATTGATATAATCGCCTACCACGGTAGCTTGCAATGGTGTCACAACGTTATTCTTAGGACGGAATGTCCTGTCTGTAGAACCAGGATGGAAGAAGAGACCATGTTCTCTCCTCTGTCCCAGAACATCACAGATCTGTTGGTAGTACCCTGCATATTCATGGATCAGGGTTGCACCATCAAACTCAAGAAGAAGGAGATAGTGGAACATGAGAAGGAATGTAGATATAGAGAATGCATGTGTCCAGGATGTAAGGAAAAGATTCAAGCATGTAAACTTCCTGATCACTTCCTTTATTGTGCTCAACTAGTATATAGGGAGCATCATCAGCATGTGCATTTGGATGAGACTAAAAAAATAGTTTATAAAGGTTCTAAAGTAACATCACGTAAGCCCTTTGTATTTAAGCTAGACAACTCATATAACTGGTTTCTACTCTACACTGATCGATTAGAAGATAAACTGGTGTATCATGTTAAGCACTATAGTGGAGAGGAGAGGATGGAAACATTCAACTATAATCTCAAGATCTCCAATACAGGAAACACATTCTCCAGGTCTATGAGTGGAGTGTGTACTCCTATTGATATGGAAATCAAGGATGCCAGGAGGAAAGGATTTACACTTGATATAAGTGTCGAAGCTATGGAAAATATGTGTTTTTTGCCAAACCTAGACAAAAATAACAAATATTATTGGTACATAGAATTAAGCTTGTTTAAATCTTATCCTTAAACATTATCAGGTGTGCAAGGTGATTGAAATATTGAAATATTTTAAAAAAATCAAAACTCCTGTGAATTTACAATTTTCCTGATAATCATGATGCAGTTAAGTAATTAAAATTGTCCATATTTAAGGTTTAAAGTCATTAAACTTAAAATTGATAATGTTTATAAAGTGTACAATTCATTTCTTTGGTTTATAGCTGTTCCCGAAAATGATTAGTTTACCACTTTAGCAACTCTCAACCAATATTCATGTGTGATTAATAATTTCTTATTCTTGTCAATTTATTGCTTTTTTTCCCAATATTGCATAAATGTAATTTTTTTTCAGAATAATGTAAAAAATATTAAGAAAAAGAAAAATCGTTTTGTGAAGAGGTTAGGGTTGGGCTGTTCAGCAAGATTACTGTAACTTAAAGATTGAGAAAAATTACATTTGTAATCAATGTCTTGGTCTTTTGATTAAAGGGCAGCTCTAACATTTTATTAAACATTTTTAAGGAGCACAAACAAGAATATCAAGAATGGGAAGGAGAATGATACAATAGTGAAGGAGAATGATACAATTGGGAATGAGAATGATCTGATTTGAAAGGAGAATGATACAATTGGGAAGAAGAATGATCTGATTGGGAATGAATGACAAGAAATCAATGAAGGAAACATCTGAGAAGATGAAAGATGAAGTTATATAGTATCTTGAACTTCAGATCACTTGTCCTGTCTGTCTCATGATTCCAAGATCTGAGAAAATAACTATCCATCTATTTGTAGGAATTGGCACACAATCTGTGAAACATGTAAAGGGAAAAGCCATAGGTAATTAATAATAATTGCTAGCTTCTCATTTTTATGACAAATGTTGAAAGAAAAACTATTTCATCCCATTCTTTGCAACATTTTACACTTTTTCATCCCTGATTTTTTTTCTTTTCAATAAATCAGTGTTAATATATTTTTGTTTGCTCTAAGGAGTGAACGGTATTGCGAATTTTCTATTTCGTGTGTTGAGATTTTTCACTCTCGTTAAAATTTTACATATTAAAATCTATTATTTCATACTTCTCTACAAGTATAGAATTTAAAGATTATTAGTGGAACAAAACTATTGAATGACAATTACTTTTTCACTGTTTTTGAAAATACTGGTTTATCTATTCATACCCTCACGCCAGATTCCTTCCTTGATTCAGTTTCTGTTAAAAATGTAGAAAAAGAGAAGGTTTAAAATTGCTTTCACCACCATAGCTCTCTCAGATCTCAGACGCTACCATTGTAAATGGCTTAAAATTTTTAATTTGCATATTTGTTTGTGGAGTTAAGTATTCTCTACAATCCTATAAATTTTGTTATTATTTAAACATCTAAAATCTATTATTTCAAAATATCTTTACAAGTATAGAATTTAAAGATTATTAGGGGAACAAAACTATTGAATGACAATTACTTTTTCAGTCTTACGTCAGATTCCTTACTTGACTCAGTTTCTGTTAAAAATATAGAAGAGGAGAAGGTTTAAAACTGCTCTCGCCACCATAGCTTCCAGACACTACAGTTGTAAATAGCGTTTACCATTTTTAAATTGCAAATTTGTTTGTGGAGATATATATTCTGTACAATCCCAAAAATTTGGTTATTTTTTTCAGCATCTGGGGAAAGAAGGGGTCTTGTAAAACACACTCTTAAGAATCTTTAATGCACTTGTTTTGAAAGAAAATGTTTATTTTTCATCTCTTAGCACAGTGAAAACTAAAAATACAAAAATCAGTTTTTGTTTAAAAATGATTAAAAATTTGTTTTTAAAACTTACACTGATGCGATCTTTGAGGTAAGCGTTCTTGTGATCTTCTTGAATCATGCTTATTCTTGTCAAATTATCTTTCATAGGTTTTGTATATTTTAGGATTATCTTGCTCAGGATAATCTTTCTTAACTCCAGGATATCTTAACATCTTGGGAGTTTCTTAGAGAACTAATCCTAAATAGTTTCTCTTTAGTAATTGTTAATCCCTTTGTTATCTATTTCTTTTTACTAAACTATATTGTTGCTAACATTGTGAAGATCTGATATTGGTTTAGATCTCAGGATTAAGTTTAAACTATTCAGCTCCAGGTGTAGGTTAAAGTCTAACTCCATGGTTAGGTTGAGGTTTATTCCAGATACAGGTTTAGGTTTTTACTGCAGGTACAGGTTCAGGTTCTACTCTGGAAAAAGATTTTTTCTCGGGTATAAATCAGAGTTGGAACATCACAGGTTCAGTTCCAGGTAGGGGTTAACACTGGGCTCTGGTTCTATCTCGGTTTACTTATAGGACAGGTTCTGCTTGTACTTTAAGTTCAAAGGAACCATTAAATTTTAATCCTACCTAGGATGAGCCTTTCCTCAATTTTCTAACCTCCTTGGAAAGATCGTTATCATTTATTTCTGTAATCTAAGATTGAAATAAATGATTTGTACAGCTGTATTTTTCTTTCAGTGAACGCACTGAATAATTCAGGGTACAGAAATATACAGGTTTTCACGTGTAAAGAAGATAATTTTCTCGAAACAAAATCTGGTCTATACGACACTTTTCTCGTCAATTAAACTTTGATATTTGATAAGTGTTGTGACTTTGCCTAAGGCATATTAAGGTATCCTTTTACAATTTTTTCATTGCTTAGAACTATTAGAAAAGAAATCTGAAAAAGAGGTCCCGTTATGAACCCCCCAGACCGCCGGCAGGCATGGGAAGCACCGTCCCACACCTACTCTAACTGGACATTTATACCCACAACAATTAGCCCATTGTCAGAAGATAAAAAGGTGATACTATCCAGCCAGTGGCTCATCAATTAACTCCATTGGTTGGTATCAAACAACCCTTTAGGCGAAGAAAAGAGGTTACCCGAATTTAAGCTGTCCCTGCCAAATCCATCCAGTGCTCCAGCAGTAAGTTTATCTTTTCGGTCCTTTTCAGCAGCACTTCCTGTGAGACATTATCTCCCCCTAATATCCCAGTAAGGATTGCCGTGCTGCTCCGTGGCCTCCCTGACATAAGGGCTCCCAGCCCTGTTTTAGACCTCTCATAGGCTACTGCTTGACAGGATACAACAACGTGATGCTCCGAAAGGTGGTTAACTATCCCTTTACTTAGGCATAGCGGACACCATTTAGTGGCGGAGCCATGGATGTTTGGGCGTTGATTTCCAAGCCCTGCATCCCCGGCTCTCAATCTGTTCAATACACCCCCTACCTTGCTGTCACATACATGTGGCTGGAGTTTGAACCAGATTTGAGGGGTTGGCATACAGTTGAGGGACACCCACTGTCTTTTCTGCTCCAGGACCCCTTTTATTGATGTTTTGGTAAGTCTCTTCTTCAGCCTAGTTTTAGGACCTTCAAACACATCCAGTCCCAAATCAGCAACCAGATCCCCAACCATTCTCGCCCACGGGTCGTCACGTGCTCCGATCACCGCGTCGAATGTATCAGACAGAATAGGATCTCGTTTTTTATGCATGATTTCCCACACATACAAAGCTACTCGCTCCTTTATCCTGTCTCGCATTGGTTTAAACCCTGCATCCATGTACCCAGCTACCATGGCTGATGAACTTGGTAATTGTAGGATGAACCGTGCAACCTGGTGCTGGATGCTGTCTAGCTTTCTAGTGACACTGTTAGATAACACCATGGATTCCACCACATACAGTATAGCTGGTATAGCACATCTCTCCCATAGGGTATGGGCTACAAGAGACGGATCTAGTCCAGATCTTGTGACTCCCATGATAGTATTAGCGTAATTTTGCGCGACACATACCATACGCTCCTCTCTTGGCTTTGACCTGTAATTCCACTCCTAGATATTTACCAACCAGGTTTGATTCTAGGTCTGGCGTACCTGGTTCTATTTTCCAAGTCTGCCCCTGTGTTCCATTTGAGAGTATTATTGTTTTCTCTACAGAGAGTTTCATATATACCCCATGGCAGAACCGTGAGACCTCCCTTAGCATACGTTCCATCCCTCTCACTTTTGTCCGTGAGATAAGAACGAGGTCATCTGCAAAGAACAATGAAGAGATCACTTGGCCGTTGAAGTTAATTCCTTCCTTCATGGCATGTAGTTTCCCTCCAAGCCCAGCCATGTACAGTGAAAACAGAAGAGGTGAAAGCCCACACCCCTGTTTAACGCCTTTCTTGAACCATAAAGGCGCCGTCAGACCTCCTTTTATTCTGACTCTAACACTATCATTGTAATACATGGACTGGATTAGAGACTTGACCTTTCCTCCAAAGCCAATGGTGTCCAACTTTGCACATAGTAGTTCACGGTTCACTGAGTTGTAGGCTTTAGCAATGTCGCAGAATGCTATAGACACTGAATGACCTTTTCTTTTTGCCTTTCTGACAGCTGCCAACAACATAAACACACAGTCTGTTGTTGAGCGCCCTGACCTAAACCCATACTGTACTGTACCATAATAACCATTCTTCTCACATATTTTGTCCATCCTTCCGTGCATTATTTTTGTGATTACGCTAAGAAATACACAAGATACAGTTAGTGGTCCTTTATTGGACACCAACAGCGAGGGCGATTTCTTGTCAATCAGTGTCATCCTTCCGACAAGCAGGGAATCGGGTACCTTACCCTCATGGAAGGTTGCATTGATAACATCAGTCAACATGCTCACGAAGCACGGCCCGGCATATTTAAGCATAGCTACCGTGACATTATCAACTCCAGGGGATCGTTGTAGTTTCATCTTGTCTATAACAGCTTTAACCTCAGCCTCAGTGGTTCTCCTGCAGACTTGCCCTTCATGGGTTGTGCTACCTACTGTATCTTTCATCCACTCTTGCCACCCCATAAGCTGNCACACAGCTCTGCATTCCAAACTTGGAAACTATCCCCTCCAACTTCAGCTGCAAGATACACAAAGCATAGTGCCACATTGCTGTTGTTTTCATGGATTAGTATCCACTCTCTTTCATTAACCAGGTGGGGGTACATTGGTAGAGGTGGTTCATACCGTGAATGGTTAAGGCCGGGCTGAACTATGGTCAGCATCCCACCACCTTTCTTTTCTTTCCAAAGCCTCTCTTTGGAGTACCATATGAACTTGTCTAGACATGAAAGGTCATCATTGGACCCATGTCTCAGGTGAGTTTCACTCACGGCAAGAACATGTAAGTTATTGTCATTCATGACATCCACTATCATGTCTTGTTTGTTGTCCCGTATTAGGCCATTGCAATTCCAATATGCACATGTGATGGAGGATGACCTCGGCACCTCCTTTGCCAAGTTTTGCCTATGGGCCCTGCCCTTAGCATGGTGCCTCTTACTGGGCTTACCCATCAGTGGGTTTTTAGAAGGAGTTTTAATCTGAAAATAGACCCAATAATCCTAATGAACCTAAGGAGATCAAAGATTTATTAACGCATATAAGATCTATCCATCTATCTATCTATCCATCTATCTATCTATCTATCTATCTATCTATCTGTCTGTCTATCTATCTATCTATCTATCTATCTATCTATCTATCTACCTACCTATCTATCTATCTATCTATCCATGATTAAAATAGCAATCTTAGTACTAAACAGAGAAGGCATTTATTGGTCCCAGAATAACCATGACAGTTATAATTAAAATACATAATCTATCATAAAACTAAATCATTTAGTATAAAATATGCCGACCATAAAAGAATAAAACCTTGAGTAAAGCTTATGCTGAACCACAAACCAGAATAAAGTCTATGATTATTAGACAAATAAGGTCCGACTAGAGGACGACCACAAATAACGAGTACTGGAGAACAAACGATGTGGTTCATTTAGGGGCTATCAAGGAATATCACGCTCTTGATTGTCACTCCCTTGATACTTGATACTTGAGTACATAAAGAACAATTAAACAGAGCATTCTTGATTGTCACGCCCTTGATACTTGATATTAGACAAATAAAGTCCGACTAGAGGACGACCACAAAGAGTGAGTACTGGAGAACAAACGATGTGGTTCATTTAGGGGCTATCAAGGAATATCACGCTCTTGATTGTCACGCCCTTGATACTTGATACTTGAGTACATAAAGAACAATTAAACAGAGCGCTCTTGATTGTCACGCCCTAGATACTTGATACTTGAGTACATAAAGAACAATTAAACAGAGCGCCTAGACCCTCTCCCCTTCTCTAAGTCGGACCTCGGGTACTTATCTCTCAGCTCTCTGTTCCTACTTCTGCTCTTGCTGCTGTGCTCCGTTTTCCTGCTGCCATCCTCCCAGCTGTTCCTTCTTTTTGCCGTCCCCCGGTATAGCCGGTTCTGGGCTGGCTCAGCTCTCTCCTCGACCAAGAAAAAGTGAGCAAATTCGTCGGGATGAGCATCATATAACGCTTTACGGAGCACCGGATCCTTTGTCTCATGAACAGCACTGGAGTGACCTATCAGATCACACTTTGCACAAGTAGATAGTTTGTCCTCACATCTGTCATATGGATGCTTGTCCCCTCCACAGCCTTTGCACTTGACTCTAACTTTGCACTTATTGGCAAGATGCCCCTCCTCCCGGCAATAATAACACACTTTAGACTCCTTACTTGATGATGTTGTTGTTTCAGTGCGGATGGAGCAACAGATCCAGTTTTTGCTCCATTCTGGCTAGGAGAGCCTCGCTGGCTTGAGCCTGTCTACTGAGCTCATGCTTCATCTTCAGCACCACTACATCTGAGACTCTGTCCACAAGATGCTCAGAGTTCACCCGTATCTCTGTAGGAGGAGGGATAAGGGCAGGAGTATCGTCTTCCTTTGCGGTGTCGTCCATGTCAAGCTACTCTTGCTCAAAATCCATCAGTTCATCCTGAGACTCCTCCTTACGCTCGTCTTGCTCCTCCTCAGTTTGTGAGGACAGCGCTCTGAGCAGATTCAACCTGGATAGTGAGATTATAGTTTGGTCATAATAAATAGGAAACAATTTAACCATGAGCACTATCCCTTTTCCCCAGTAAGATCTAGATCAATTGACCTATTTACTAATTTGTTCTGGGACAAGTTCATAGGGATCAACTAAACCATTGATCCATATATTCCCTTTTTGTGTTTCCTGTTCCCAGTCAATCAATTCATCAACCGATGGCAAATCCAATAAACCACCGTTAAGTTATGAGGACGACCCAGAGATCAACTAAACCATTGAACTGATTGTCCCCTGTTAGCTATGTGGAGATCAACTAAACCATTGATCTCCTTGTTCGACTAACCATTGAAAGACGGGTTCCACTTTAACTTCATGAAGATCCCATATTCCCTCGGACCAATCAAACAATTAATTTTAATCAACTAACCCATTGATCTCCTTGTTCAATTAAACCATTGGATAGTCCGTTCCGTTTTACTTCGTGGAACACAACTAAACCATTGATCCCCTTGTTCTCTATGCCCTGACCATCAAATAATCCCATGAAGAAATATTAAACTCAAAGGCGCCATCGCCAAATATGAAATATGGCTAGCAAACGTAGATCTATATATATATACCTTGCGGGGGTTGGCCGACGACTGCTCTCAACCAGCGCCTCCTCCTCACCCTTGAGCTCCGTTAAACGTCTTTTAAGTTGAGCTCCCATCATGGCCTCCTGCACTAGCCCAAGCTGAACTAGGTCATGGACCACCTCACAAACCTCTTTGTGCTTCTTGGGGAGCTCGAGATTAGACGTATCCGACTTCTGAGCCAGCAGCATTTGCGCAGCGTCCTGTTTGAAAGTGTTCAAATCCGTCGCCGTCTTCTTTGCCAGAAAGGTTAAGTTCGCCTTCTCCACTATCGTTTTCAGTAGGGTGTAGCACGTAGTCTGACCTATTACTCAGAACATGGCCGCAATAGACTTATCCAACTTTTTAATCACCAGCACGAAGTACGAAACCATAGTTAGTAACCTAGCTTCCAACGAACAACACTTAGGGTTCATACTGAAAATTGATATTGTTTTTAAATGTCAGAAACTTTTAGTCTAGTAAATAATGAATCTTTGATATTTCTTTTATTTTATGATTAAATATATTTATATGCCTAATATATTCGATATACTCATTTAAAAGTATATTTTGTAAATATTTTGTTGTATTTAATAAAATAATTGAGGTCAATCTTTTTAGATTGAACCGTGTACCCTACATCCAGAGTAATGGCTTACTTGAGGTGAAGATCTGAGATGATAGATTAAAGTCGAGAGGTTATGAGGCTTGTAGGAAGTTCTGATCATCTTAATGCAATAACCACTCTACAACCCTTGATTAATCAAACTTTTTTAAATATGAAAATCCTTCAATTTCACTTGCTCAACTATATTTTATTCCTTGTTAAATATATTGTGAACAGGTATTTTCAATTTTAGGGTTTGAATAAAATTGATATTTTTGTAAAGATTTAAATTAAATCATTTAATCAAGTAAATCTTTCAGAAACATGGATCAAAGATTTATAAAAAGTGATCATGAAGATGAAGAAAATTGTAAAAGTAAGAGGTGAGTTTATAAAGAAATTACACACTCGACATAAACTTTGAAACTTGGTGGTTTGGTGTCAAACCTTGATTTTATGATAAAACAGAATTTAAAGTTTGAAATATCAAATGTCTTTAAAAATCTGGTTGCAAAGATATCTGGATTAGATAAATAGAAAATGTGATGAATAATTGATTCCTCCACTGAAAATTTACATTTATAACTCACTTCTAGGGGAACCAGTGTATCTCAGATTATGAAGGAGAACTTGATCATTAAGGAAAGTAACACTGGTGAAGAGGCGAAAGTTTCCATTTTGGAGGAAAATTTTGTGAGCAGAGAGGAAAATGACAAATACTCCAGTGATCCTGAGGAGAATGACTCCACCAGAAATGAGGATAATGACTCTACCAAGGATGAGGAGAATGAATCCACCATGAATGAGGAAAATGACTCCATCAGGGAGGAGGAGAATGACTCCGCCAGAAATGAGGATAATGAATCTACCAAGGATGAGGAGAATGACTCCACTACGGATGAGGTAAATGACTCCACCATAGATGAGGAGAATTACTCCATCAGGGAAGATAAGAATGACTCCATCAAGGATGAGGAGAATATATTGAGGGGAGTGAAAGATGATTTGAGTGTAGTTAAGATTGTCTTGTTCGTGGAAACAAAGGACTTAGATATAAGGGAGGGAAAACAAGAACATTATCTTACCAAGAAGATATTAGAACAAGAGAAACAGATTAACCATTTCAAATCAATGAAAGAAAAAGATGACAAAGAGAGAGTTGATCTAAATATAAAGATTTCTGAACTGGAGACACAGATTAATAATGAGAAGGATGAACAGAAAACAAAGGTTTCTGAATTGGAGAAACAGCTAAATGACGAGAAAGCATTGAAGGAGACTGCAATAAAAGCGAAAGATGATCTACTAGAAAGAAATCTTAAACTGGAAAAGGAAAATAATGATGAGAAAACAATGAAAAATAAATATGAGAAGGAGAAAGATGATATTCTGGATTTTCTGGCAAGAGAAGTCACTTGTTCTGTCTGTCTCATGATACCAAGAACTAAGAGAATACCTATCTGTAGGAATGGGCACACTACCTGTGAAACATGTAAAAGGTAAATATCTGGGGATAAGGTTTTCAGAAATTTACCTCCCTGGGGGATTGTTTCAAAATAAGAGGAAGCGGGGAGGGTTCGCCTTTTGAACGGTTTAAATATAAATTCAAAACATTTGAAAAAAATATTTTTTGGCAGCTTTGGACACTTTTTATTTTTTAAACAATTTATATAATCATTTTCATAAAAAAAAAACAGTACAAAACATTGTTGAAAATGCTCATTTCATTTCTTCATTTCTAATTCTTTGTCTACATGACAGATATAGGGATTAGAATATTTGAATTTGTGACAATTAGACTCAATTCCTTTAATAATTCTTTACATCCGTATCATGCAAGAATAATAATGTATGAGCACCAATTCACACAACACAATCATTTTTGTGAAATACTTGAAATTGTGCTTTTATTGTATGCTTAAAAAACATTCTATTTCAAATAATTCTCAAAATCTATTATGTCTTGTTAATAAGTTCCCAAGTACGTAACACGAGTAAAACTAGACTTTTTTTATTAAAAAGATAAGAATCTAATATTAATACTAAAATAAAGTTTTTCGTTTGGCATCTAAAAACATGTCAAAAATTAAAATAATTTTGAATTCATCAAAGTTTTAAACTGATCTTTTTAAAAACATTTAAAAAATTTTACACAATTCTACAGAAGTAGCATGCATTGCTAGCAGTATTCCTTGGTTGCTCATCATTTATATCTTGTAGCATTGTCATAAAACATTATTCCAAGCTTGCTCATTATTTATTTCTTGTAATATTGTAATAACACATTATTCCTAGCTTGCTCCTCATTTATATTTATATCTTGTAACATTGTCATAAAACATTATTCCTAGCTTGCTCATTATTTATTTCTTGTAACATTGTCATAAAACATTATTCCTAGCTTGCTCATCATTTATATCTTGTAACATTGTCATAAAACATTATTCCAAGCTTGCTCACTATTTATTTCTTGTAATATTGTCACAAAACATTATTCCTGGCTTGCTCATCATTTATATCTCGTAACATTGTCATAAAACATTATTCCTAGCTTGCTCATCATTTATATCTTGTAATATTGTCATAAAACATTATTCCAAGCTGTCTCATTATTTATTTCTTGTAATATTGTCATAAAACATTATTCCTAGCTTGCTCGTCATTTATATCTAGTAAAAAAAGGTCAAAAATTAAAATGATTTTGAATTTATCAAAGTTTTATACTGATCTTTTAAAAACATTTAAAAAAATTTACACAAAACTACAGAAGTAGCATGCATTGCTGGCAGTATGCCTTGGCTGTTCATCATTTATATCTTGTAGCATTGTATTAAAACATTTTTACAAGCTTGTTCATCATTTATATCTTGTAACATTCTCATAAAACATTATTCCAAGCTTGCTCATCATTTATTTCTTGTAACATTCTCATAAAACATTATTCCTAGCTTGCTCATCATTTATATCCTGTAACATTCTCATAAAACATTATTCCTAGCATGCTCATCATTAATATCTAGTAACATTGTCATAAAACATTATTCCTAGCTTGCTCATCATTTATATCTTGTAATATTGTCATAAAACATTATTCCTAGCTTGCTCATCATTTATATCCTGTAACTTTGTCATAAAACATTATTCCAAGCTTGCTCCTCATTATTTATATCTTGTAACATTGTCATAAAACATTATTCCAAGCTTGCTCATTATTTATGTCTTGTAGCATTGTCATAAAACATTATTCCTAGCTCGCTCATTATTTATATCTTGTAACATTGTCATAAAACATGTATATGCAACAAAAGTAACAAAATCAACGATGAAGCAACAAAAGATATGATGAGTCTTAAAATAGATGGTTGAAATGACTTTTTCGGCTTGAGATAGATCTCTAAGTTGATCTATTTAAACAAGGGATAAAAACAACGGTTCAGTGGATAAAATGCAAGGAAGCGGTCAATCTACAGATTCTTTCTTCTATCCCAGCTATTCTATCTCTCTCAACTTTATAAATCTATGAATTTATATTGCGAGAAGTTTATTTCTCAGTTTGTTTTGACAAATGTATTCAAAATCAGGACTTATATCGATAGATATACTTCTATATTTACTAGCATATAATACGTTTTATTACTATACTATTCATATATATCTAAATAACAAAATAATACTTCCAACCTCTGTAGAGATAAAGCTTTAAGATTTTAAATCGAATGAAACAATAAATAAGAATGAAACAATAAAAAAGAAGAATAGGGGGGGGGGGGGGG